CCTGAATGGAAATACATGCGATTTCTGCGGTTGGTGTTGCCAGTTTCCCCCATTTTATTTTATTTTTTTTTTTTTGTCCATGACGTCTGTGGCAGTGATGTTTGTTTTCTTTAAATAAATTTGTTTATATTGCAGTTAATAGGACAAAACAAATGTTGTCATTGTTGTTGTTAATAAATTTGTAGGTTTATAAATGTCACACAAATTATAAGGCTATTGACAAAATATCAACTACAAAGAATCATTGGTGCGATTCTGTAACTGTTTTACGACAGAATTACCGACGATAATAATTTCGTTAACCAATATATTCGATAATTTAACGACTAAAATAAAGTAGTTGCTGAGCACTACCGACAAATATATATTTTTTTATCTTCATTTTGTATTTAAACATGAATAATATGTTGGCTAATTTTATCGATATTTGTCAGTAACAGCAACAAATATTACAAAATCGCACTGCGGATTTGCCTAAACTAAATTTTCAATGCACTACATAGGAAGATGGGCACGAGAAGTTTCATATACAAGGATGTTTTCTATGCACAACTTTCAGAAAACTTCCAACATTAAATACACTCCTCGCACTCAACATCTAATAAAACTTTTTATTAAAATTGCAAGTTCTGAAATAAAGCAAACCCACTTTTTGTTATACTACACCACAGACCCAACCGGTCAGGTCAATAAATTTGTTACTTTAATAGTTTTTAAATAGAGGCAATTTTATTCGTTTCACACAAATAAATTATCAATATTTGGTGTTAAAAAGTATTTGAACCAAAAACGGAAATTAATTAATTCCATTTTCAAACGGAATTGAGGAAGTCACATTGTGGGTGTGTATCTATTATTTGGGTGTCTGCTATGAAGTGTGAATGGAAGCCGCTTCACAGTGTCTGTATACATCTGAAATGCTGAGAATTACATGTTGTAATTTAGTTCCTCGTTCACTTATCTACAACTGTGTGTGAGTGAGTGCGTGTATTCTTTGTTTATATCTTCAGTGGGCCTGTTTTTTAGACAAACTCATTGGAAGCAAACAAATGAAGACGACACACTTAAGTAGATGCGTTTTTTGTTTGTTGGATTCAATGATGATAACAACTCGTCGAGAAAAAATAGAAAACAAATGAAAATTGGAAACCCATGGATGAATGAATGAGAATACGAATATAACAACAACAACAACAACACCGCACAAACAAATTACAACAACAGCAGCCAAACAAGAATGTAATGAAATTGGATACAAGCAAACGCTACAGAAGAAGAAGAAGAGTTGATTAATGTTCAACAATGATGATGACACGCTCCACAAAAATGTATGTCTCATTGTCTATCTATTATTTGCCCGCCAGTTTAACTATGACTTTGTCCGTCCTTTGTCAGCATTTAATTAAAAAAAATCGTAATCGTAAATATAAACAAACAAACATAAAATGTGTTACAAACGCCATAAAGAATCTACAAATACAAACTCGAGGTTTCTAAAAATGTGAGCATGTGTGTTCCACAAAAGAAACACAAAATTCAATCTAATTTAAGCCCTGCAGCATGTGTGGTTTTAAACACTAACAAACAGTTGGTTCTGGTTTAGTGGAATTAGCTGAAAAACTTGAATCATGGAAATGATATATAAATGCATTACTAGGATTCCCTGTCATTTCTCCGATAGGGAACCTAAATCTTTCAAAAATAACAATACAATTTCCATCCGCAAAAGAAAAAAATCTTAAGAAACATGAATTATCGCTAGTGTTGAAATGACCTCATTGAAAAAATGCACAATTTTGGCGAATAAATGTGCTTGTCCCAATAAAATTGTACAGAGAGATATGCTGCAATATTATTGAAGATAATTCAAGGCATTTTTCATATTTGGTTATAGTATTTTTTAGTTATTTAAAGCTGTATACAACAGATGCCGCCATTAGGAGCACTTACCCTATTATTTTTCAACTCTACCATTAATTTCAATTATTCGGAGTCTACTGTATGTACCCGCAATGGATGAAATAAAGCTGCATAAAATTGATTTTATATTGAACTTGATTAATCAAGACAACAAAAGGGGAAACAATTGGGTCATTTCCAAGAATGGACAGTGTTGAATACGCTCAATATGTACAATTTTCCATTTAAAAAACTATCTAAATTATATGTTATCTAAAATAACACATTTTTTAGATTGATAAAATGTATTAAATGTGAAATTGGTTATTAAGGTTTTTGTTATAATACGGGCTGAATTTCTTATCGAATAATATATTTAGATAAATGATTTTATTTAACCAATATTCCATTCTAGTCATTATTCATTTTTGGTTTTCAATTATACATATTTTCATAATTCACATACGATTGTATTTTAGATAAAATATCTAGATTGTTTGTTATGAATTGAATATTCAAGGTTATAGGATTTCAAAAATATAAATTTTTTTATAAGATATGACCTGTTTTCTATGAAACGAGTAACACCAACAACTTTATTCTAGAGTATCTCATATCTCATCAGTCCGCCAACAGAAGCTACGATTATGATATGCTATTCTCTTTTCGGTATCTGCTATAACTAAGCCCTTTTTCCTCATATTTTCTTATAAAACAAATTGGATTATGTTCTGCTGTCTGAGTGTAACAAAAGCACAAAAAAATGTATACGAAGAGAACAAAAGATTAAAATGCATTTAAAACTTTAATTTGCTACACACGGTGAAAAGAAGCTTATGCGATTTAAGAATACAATGTGTAGTTATATCTTTTGACGTTTTTAGATACAAAGAGAAATTGCTTTCGAAACTAGATGTACATACGATTATTTTTGTAACTTTGAAGAAAAATTGATTTTTTGGAAATATGAAGGAAATAAAACAAACTTGTTTTTATATTTTGCTTGATACATATGCCTTCATTGGTACATAACTTGAAATAATTATAATTTCCTATAACTAAATATGAAAATTAAAAAATAAAAATTAATAAAAAAATCGAAATAAAAACTCAAAAGTTAAAAATTCACTTAAAGGACACCTCTGATATCGAAAGGCTTCGAGGTAGAAAACGAGTACATTTTCCAGTATGTGAGAAAAGATCAATCTATAATGACATGGGTAATACCGGGTCAATTGTATAAGTCTATAGCACATCGAGGATTAATCAAAGGAAGTTCCCTTCATGTTTGTGCTAATTACGGTACCACCACTGTATATTTTATATATAAACAGAAGAATTATATTTATTTATTAAAAACCATAAACAATAATTATTTACTGGTATTGGAAGCTTGTCCTTTCTTTGTAGGGCATTTATGTAATTCTTGCTTGCTATAAAGAAACCTGTCTTCCTCTTCAAAAAGTTCAACGATTTACATTATTTTTATTACAGCATTCTACTAATGTCTGAATTTCATGGGCCGGGGCTCAAATTCATGACACTCTACAGCAACTGAGTCTTTATTTGGTACATCTGCGAAGTTTAAATCGAGATCAGTATCACCCACTGATTGATTGTGACTTCTGTACAATAAAAACCTTTGTCAGAGACACCTTTGAACATATTCAAAGCTGCTCCCTTGAGTGTGTTCAAATGTGGGCTAATCACGTAAATTTGTAATATTTTTTGTAGCTAATGCATTAGAATAAAATACCTTAATTATGTTTGAAATGATTGTTGCAATACAAAAAAATTTTTAACGACAAAAAAACGATCACTGAAAACTTCCTGCGTCCTTACAAAAAAAAAAAAAAAAAAAACAGCAATTGTATTTTTTAAATACTAACATTTTTCAATATGCCTATAGTCCTATGTAAGTTTTTTCTTCTTTTTTATATGAAAAATGTTCCATGAAATTCGAACACCACCCATGTATTGCAGATTTGTGTTCGCATAATTCTCTATATGCCATCTAATCTCTTTTAGTGCGCCTGCCCATCATTAATACTGCACTGTCATCATTAAACAATCGAATATTTAAGATAAAACCAAATAAAATATCTTCAAGTCACCCATCTATTAAAAATTCACTGCAGCAAAATTCACAAGATGTGACATTTGCTACTTACTGTCAAGTGAAATCTACTGAGTCGCCACAATGACACATGGAAAATGTTGCCAAGGGGTGCAACATGTAAAGAATACGTTCAACATTTACAACATGTGAGGAGTGCGAGTGCATGCAGGCGGCAGTTACATCTGGAGGGTGGTGTTCGTTTCTGTGGACATTTACTTTCATCCACCTATCTATCCCCTCGCTCAACACACGGTTTGTGTGTGTGGTTTTTTTATAATGAAAAACGAATTAAAATACGAATGTTTTCCACATGAAAGACATAATATTGATTGTCCTTGAAAGAGGAGCGAGAGCGAAAGCCACAATACCATATGGACGAAAAATGCACCAACACAACTTGCTCACAATTCCACTTCCACTTCTGCCTCTCTTCATGCTAGCTGGATGGCAGCAGTATACCGACGACCCTTCCTCGAAACACGCACACAAAAGCAGCTGATTTTTACCACACTAAACGACCAAGTATGGAGAATTGAGTGTGTATGCACCCGACATACCCAGAAAAGGTGGTTGAAGTATCGATTCAATCGTCTCTCGACAAACATTAACTTCTTCCGTATACCCTCATCATACCCTTTAAATTGTCCCCACCGTTTTTGTACTAAACACTCAGGAAAAATGTGCTAAATTCTTATTTTTAGCAATGATTTTTAATATTTGACGGCGATTCATTCTAAATTTGGCAAATTTATAAAACTCCACCGTATCGCAGAAAAACATCTGAGCATGTGGCTGGAGAAAAGGACTCAGCTGGTCGAGTGACTGTGTCTGTGTTGTGTGTCATGCCACCACGACCGACCGCACCCAACAGACAGACGGACGGACGGACAATATTGCAAATATCTTATTGCCACAAAGATAAAGGATGCTAATGCAGACAGAATGTGAATTAAGGTAATGAAGTAGCGTAGCAACGACTTACCAGCAATGACGGTGTCACTTAAATTGAACTTAGTTCCAGTTTTTGGAAAATCCTTCAACTTTCGATTGGTCAGTATCAGTTCCCCGCTTAGATGGGCCTCTTCAAGGATTCGCTCCAGGGAACGTGCCAACTGATGATGGTGTCCACCAGTGGCTGTGCCACTGCTGCCTCCAGACACTGAATTACTGCCACCGCCCCCAACCACTCCCACACTCGTATTGTGGAGCCGATTGTAGACGGCAGCTGTCGCTGCCATCCTCATTTGATCTTAACTCCCTCTCCCTGGAGGAGGCTTCTGCTTTCAAGAGACCTTTTTTCACGATACACACAATTCGAAAAATCCTCTATCACTTGCACTCGATGATGTCGTATCGAATTTATTTCATTTTTCACACACAAGATACTGTGATGCAGCCAATTTAACTGATATCAATTCGAATTTCAACCGATTTCATTTATAATTTTCCTTTTCTTTTAATTTATATTTTTGGCTTTTCTTCTGATAAAATTTTATTTTTGTTTTATTCCCACAAACACACATAGGCACACTCTCTCACACTGCACATATTAATTCCTAGAATATATCTTCCCTCTTTCTTTCTTCTTATCGTTTCTGCCGACAACTGACGCGAACAGCACAGTTCAGTTCTTTCACGTTTCAGGGCTGTTTTATTTCTGAGTTGTTTTTGGTATTTTCTCCAAGGAATCATAAATCGATTCGATTGGACTGGGCTGGTCGATAACAACTCGTAATCGAAATGCAATCGAAACTGTCAGTGTCTCCTCCGATCCGTTTTGAAACACAAACGCATGTTGCTCATCGTCTAGATCCGCTTTAAACATCATTCGCATGTTGCTTTGTTTCTATCAACATAACATGTTGACAGAAAAAAGGTTGCTACAAATTCAAAAAAGAAATTCCTATTTTGAACGAGAAAATATGACATTTGGTCTGTTCCCGTACTGCAAGAATCTACTACTCTTTACTACGATAACGAATTTTCCTTTATGTTAACGAAGAAAATAGTAAAATCCAGTAGATTCTTGCTGTACGGGAACAGACCAATTATTTCTAAAACCAAAATTAGTTTTGCTCAATTTATTCTCTTGTTTTTATGTAAAATACAAGTTGTCATATATCTCTGAGTGGAATATTTATATTCAGAATTAGTAATCGATCAACAATAAATAACGTATTTTTATTTTGACACCTGTTGTAATTCCAATGATCTAGTTCAAATGAACGATTCCCTAAAATAAACTGTGGGAAATAATTCGGTTTATCTATTATTTATAGTACGTTTACATTGTACCGGATTTCGTTAATTCGGTGGTTTTAAATAGTCAATTCCATTGTATATATGCCAAATAAATCCTCATTGAAGTAGTTTAACCCACATATGGTTGGTTGGAAAAATTAAGTTATTTAAATAATAAATATATTTGTTACGATTGTTGTCTGTTGGTCTTATGTCAAAGTTAAACAATTTTACATTAGGAATTTTTAAATATTTCTCTCAACGCCCAATATGGAATTTCCATATTGTCTAAATCGGGGTTTCGAAATATAAAAAAGCTTTCTTCCAGAAACGATTGACAGCGTCTAAGTCTTTATTAAGGCTTTGTCACACGAGCCATCAATGTCATATGTGCTGTCAGTTTTTCTGTTTTTTTTTTTGTAGTTAGCTACTCATTTGACGACAGGGTAATGTCATGTAGGGGAGGCTGGGGCACCTTCGGAAACGCGTTTTCGATATGAAGCTCTTATTGTACATAACTAGCTTTGATCTAAAGGTATGGAATATCAAAACAATTAACTGTCCATCAATTAACATCCATCAAATGCCGAAGCTACCAAAGACATAAAAGTATAAAGATACTACAATATTTACTAGATTTGCGTTCCCGAACTTTTCAAATTAGTTTGTACTCTGAGAGCGATTTTGAAATGTTTCCCTTTTACCATAGCATAATTACTCAGTAGTCAGGTAGTCTCATTTGAGAAATGCATAACGACAAACCTTTTTAATATGTAATTCATACATCAATTTCAAATAAAATAAAAAATAAATACTATAAAATTTTGTGTATGTCGATTGACATATTTTCAGCAAATTGAAAACATTAATTTCCACGGCTTCAAATTGTTATAAAGATGAATGTGGGTGCTACCATGCAACAACATATATTTATGAGTTTTAGAGTTTTTATTTATTAAAATATTAATAATTTTGCAAATTTTGCCAATGAACTATGGTATAATAATAGAAGGTAGCAGCAAACGTTGTTGTACAACAAACGATACAACAGCCACATGGACATTTGTTGTTGTAAGTTATACTAGTATCAACGTCATTTGACAGAAAAATGTAAATAAACAAACAAATGAAAATGTAATATTTCGAATCCTCAAAATAAAATTGAAAAACATGAATGAAAATCCATCAAATTTATATTACAATCGCTTCCACATCTTTTCTATAATTGACCCATTGCCACATATATGTGTATCACATATGAAAATGCTGGGAATTGCGGGTTATTCCATGAAGAAAGATTTGCTTCCTCATACTTTCCCAGCAGACAGGTTGATTAAATTGAATACTGGAGGACATTTAATAAAGAACAATTTCGAATTGTATACGTTCCTAATTTTCCTGTTGGGTGATTTTTAAAAACATAATTTGTCATATTCATATTGACTCTAGTAATACTAGTAGGAATCAAATCAGCTGGATTTTGCTGTTACGTTTTATAATTGTACCATGCCACTGAACAAATGATGTGTGTACATTTCAAAAGAAGGTATTTTAATCTAAATGTTGAAAGTCAAAAGTAAATTTATGAAAAAAATTGGAACCATATGTCTGCATGAGATTACTATTAAAAAGTACTGGAACAGACCAAATATTAAACGTTTTTAGTTCTATATCGTTAGCTTATAGCCTAGACAGACGACAGCCTTAATTTGCATTAACAGCCTTAATTCAAATTAACTTGTACATTATCCTCATTTTTATGTGTTGTTAATGCACAAAATCAAACTGAATTTATACTGAATTAGGCAATTTCAATATGGCAATGCTGTCGAAAATTAATTGTTTCTTGTCAAATTTATTTATATTTATGAAAATAAAAATAAGAAATGAAGGCAAATTTCAACCATTTCTTAAATTGGGAGCTGTTTTGCTATGATCATAGTTGCTATTCCGCCATTATTTCTATTTCCTAAAGATGTAATCCCGAAAAATCGATACAAATGTAAAAATATTCATCCTACACACGTACAAACAATTGTTTTGAAGCAAAAAACTGTTTCGTAAATGCAGAAACTCTCGTCTGTCAGGGGTAAATATTAATTCAAATTAAGACATTTTTAATGCAAATTAAGCCTGTCGTCTGTCTATGGTATTATAAAATGAAAGAACACATACTATGTGTCGATGTCGAAGGAGGATATTCTCATTTAAATTTTAAAAGCTGAAACGTAAAATTATGAAAAAATTGGATTCATATGTCTGCATGAGACTGCCTAGTATAAGGTATGTCATAGATTTCCATATGTAAATAAATTAAAAAAAAACATACTGTGTAACAGCACCGTAAGAAGGAGAAACAGTTAAAAAGTGTGAAAGTACTCCTCTACAACTGTCAAAAACTAATATATGAATATTAAAGTCGACTCATCAAAAAAATGAAAAAAAAAGTTTGTCCGATAACTTACTGAGTAAAAATTACTCAGTAACTTGTATTGAGATAGTTTGTTCTCTCATACGAAAATATTGATAAAAGTTATCGAACAACATCCAGTAAAATCCAAATAAATAATCCAAATTTATATAAATTAATTTTATATATTTCATGAGCATATGGCTTATTATCTCTAAAAAATAAAATATTCAGATTATTGCATGGTACAATAATACAAGGTAGGGCAGCTTGAGGTGAATAACAAAAAAACAACTATGCACGTGTGGCCTCTTCTGCCAAAAATAAAATAAATATATGCAACAAGTGTTTGTGTTTATTTGACATTTTTTTCAACACAAAACTAAAAACGCGAAAAATGAATGAAAGATTATGATTTCTTCCCAAAATCCATCAAATGTTTGTTTCATCCATAACAATGTAATTACTTCTAGACGAACATGTTATAGCCTAGACAGACGACAGCCTTAATTTGCATTAACAGCCTTAATTCAAATTAACTTGTACATTATCCTCATTTATATGTGTTGTTAATGCACAAAATCAAACTGAATTTATACTGAATTAGGCACACACATATGGCAATGCTGTCGAAAATTAATTGTTTCTTGTCAAATTTATTTATGTATATTTATGAAAATAAAAATAAGAATTTAAGGCAAATTTCAATCATTTTTTAAATTGGGAGCTGTTTTGCTAAGATCATAGTTGCTATTCCTCCTTTATGTCATGTATCTATTTCCTAAAGCTGTAATCCCGAAAAATATCGAAACAAATGAAAAAAATTTTATCCTACACACACACAAACAATTGTTTTGAAGCAAAAAACTGTTTTGTAAATGCAGAAACTCTCGTCTGTCAGGGGTAAATATTAATTCAAATTAAGAACTTTTTAATGCAAATTAAGGCCGTCGTCTGTCTATGGTATTAAAAACATAATTTTCATTTCAATTAAATTTGAATATATTTCAATTTATTTTGAATTTCTTTGACATAGTATTCAAAACAATACACACACATACACAAAATATGTATTTTGATTTGATGGAACAAGCCACAATGAGAAAAAATTTTAATCAGTTGGTAGCTGTGCCAAGGTAGATATACAAGGTAGCCGCATCGGCGAATTTCTACAACAAACATCGGTTGTTGTATTTTGATATGTCAAAAATATTTTGCCAAAACAAACAGATTGGCAAGATTTTTTTACACAAATTCTTGTAGAAAATGTTAATAAAAGTATTGCCAAAAAAGCTCTTCGAAATTGAGATTTTCATTCATAATTTTGTTTTTTAATTTTTTGGTTCAACATTACAACAACATTTTTGACATTTATTTGTCCAACAGCTGGGCCGATGCGACTACCTTATTAAATATACCTTGAGCTGTGCCCTACCTTGTAATAATTATCCCATGGATTATTGTATTGATAGTTTTGTTTTTTCTTTTGTTGAAAATAGAAACGAAAATAAAAGAAAATATGAAAATTTCAATAAGAATGTGAAATATATGAATACATTGTATAATTTTTTAATTTTGTTTCGCTAAGAGATATCGA